GTTTCAAGCCATGTTCTAATCATCGCTGTGTTTCAAGTAACAAAGTATGTGATGGTGCAAATGATTGTGGTGACAACTCGGATGAATTTGACTGTAAAGGTAAATGACAGTTAATTCCGAAGTGAATTTGGAATATTGCTCTGTAAATACTTAGTATGTGAATAGAAGTAGCTAGAAAATATGTGTAACTTCATTGGAATTACAAGTGCTGGGGTTTGTTTCGCTAGAATTCAAAACCAAGCAGGTGTGAAGTAGTAAATGAAAGAGCATCTTTACTACCAACAGAAGAGGTTGAAAGATTGGTGATTTCTTCTCTGCATCTGCTGCATTGTTTCTTCTTTGGAGTAGCTAGCCTTCTATTTCTTTGCCACTCAGATGCAAGGCAACGTCTGTGTCCTTTGCAAAACTTACTAGAATTGTTCTCCTTTTCGTATTAGAATTGCCTTTCTTTTTATGTCTTAAAACATGAATATTTATATCTGTGTATCAACCAATGAGTAAAGACTCGCTATCAGGCAAACCAAATCCTTAGTTACAATTCAGAAAGACTGGAGGGGAAATTATTCTACAATATATAGCAAAAATCCGTATAGCTGTGGTGACTAGCATTTTTTTGAAAACAATGTGGTTTTTGAAAACACTGAATATGAGTAGAGAGAAAAGAACATGGGCAGAAACCCCAATGTGGTGTTACATGAAAGAAATCCAAAAGATTCATAAACAGCCCTGAAAGTGCTTTTTCCTTTCTCACATGGTGATTATATCGAATTGAATTATCCAGAGACACATTTAAGCTTAAAAAATAAATTTAAAAATCAGAAACTACACTTTCAAGGTTATTAGACATTACATTTCTACTGAATTTTCAGCAATGGAAGGTACCGTGTGTTCTCTATGCCTCGTTCTAAAATGTAAAAGTTTTGAACATAATACGTGTAATATGCATCTGAAAAGCCTGTTTAGTACACAATTTTCCATCTTTTATAACCATATGTTATAGATTCAACATGCGCTTCAACAGAATTCCGTTGCGCAGATGGGCTTTGCATTGGAAAATCAGCCCAGTGCAACCAGATCATTGATTGTGCAGATGCTTCGGATGAAAAGAACTGTAGTAAGTTTGTGTTTGTGCTTCATTGTAGCATCTGTTCCATGATTATTCCTTGTTATGTACCGGTTAATTCATAATCATGACTAGTTGGATACCAGCAGCTGCATGCTCTGCGCAAACTCCGGCTAAACCTGAAATCCAAACTATTAAGCTCTCAATCTCTATTAGGTGTGATATAGTAATTTACACTCTCTTTCCAGATAATACAAACTGTGCTTACTTCTATAAACTTGGAATAAAATCGTCAGGATTTATTAGCTGTAATTCAACTTCTCTCTGCATACTGCCAGAATGGATGTGTGATGGCTCTAATGACTGCGGAGATTATACAGATGAACTGAGATGCCCAGGTAACTGTGAAAAAGAAAATAAGAAAATTTTTTTTTTTTTTAAATAACTACGTTTTTTTTCTAATTGTGTTGCAAAATGTTTATTCAGACAATACTTTTTTATTTAAGACAGAGATTTATATAGCGTTGACTGTATTTTTTTTTACCAGTCTTTAATTTGTGTTTCATCATATTATACAAATTTTACTAATTACCGCTGCATTTTTCTAAAGAAAACTGTAATGTTTAGCTTTCTGTTTCGTCCAGGTTAGGTCTGTCATTCATGACTTTTATTTAAGTAAAACACTAGTCATTAGTATAGAAGATGAAAACTTTTATCAGTGCAAATACTTTTTTTTTGTATTATCAGTGCAAATACCTTGTTTGTTTTCACAATTGACACATGTTAGATTGTAATACACCTGCAGTGACCAGTACCTCTCTCTTCTAAGAATCATTTAGTAAAATTAAATATCTACTAATTAATAGGTGTTATTAATTTGTAAAAATAAAACTTTTAATTTTATGTAGTTAAATACTATCCAGTTTTTGCCTAGTCATTCACATAATCTGATTATTTCCATTTAGTACTCTCTTTTTCTGTGTGATAATCCAACTGTGTCACCAGAGACTTTTATTAGAATTCTCATATATTTTGTGCCAACTTTATTGATGAAAATATTACCAGGATCCAGAAAGAAACCTAGACTTTCAGTACTAATGTCAATGAACCTGACATTAAGAAATTTCATCCTTTGTACAAGCCAGATGCACATTATAGTTTCCATTCTGGTATTTCTATTCTCAAAATTGACTATTAATTCTTCAGAATTTGCTGAATGCAGTGCTTCATTAAGCTCAGAATAGCTTAGATTTACTGTATTTCCTTTGTCTATAATATTTTGTTTTCCACACCGAAGAAGGTTTTGAGGGCAGTGTGCTATTGCTTCAGTAAACTAATGTTGCATTTTATTCCATCGTCTGCTAATTTGCATTACTTTATTCTGTCTTTCAAATGTGTGCCAAAAAGTTCCATCATTTTAATGTGTGACTAATTGCTTGGATCATTCCTCCCTTTACTTGGAATCAAAGCCATTCCCATTCAACCTGCATGTGATTTCCTTTGCCATTTCATTCAAAACTGACCAACCTTGGAATGTGAAATTTTGGAGTGTTGTTTCTGTTATGAATATGATCATTGCCATTAACAGTCTTTTTTTAGTGTCATTGTCCTTTGAGAGAGTTAAAGCAATATATTTATTCAGAGGTGGCTATACTTAGACAATCTTCAACATCTATCGAGTCATCCCAGTCATCCCACTTCTTTCTTTATTCTGTTTTCTATTCATACAGCCCTAGAAGCCATAAATGTAACTTTAACTTTGTTTTTGAGAGCGAGAGAGGGAGAGAAAGGAGGGGAAAAAAAGCAAAACTAGTGTTGATAGCCCCAATACCTTAAGGGAGTAAAAGAAACCTTGACTGAGAGCTCCAGTGATCTCCAATACTTGTAGCTCATGTCCTTCTCTTCGCTTTTCCCAGGCAAAGACCTTGCTTGAAATTTTGAAAGTATGTGCCACTCATAAGGCTAATATTTGTGGTTATGTCATGAAATTAAGTACATGGTATGTTTTCTTTCCTCCCATCTGTTTTGAAAGCATCCAGAAAAGTAAAATCTTAAAAGACTCACACTATACAAACGAAAGAAGGCGAGGAGGAAGAAATTGTTAATTTATGACTAAATCTGTGGCTCCAGTACCAGTGGTGTAGCTCCAGTTAGTCAGTGCATGCATCCCAATGAGTGTGACAAAAATACTGCCACAGTTAGATTATCTTGTGGATGATGACAGATAGATTATAAGGGCAATTCCTTCAGGTGGTGTAAAAAGACAAGCAATGTTGATTTGTCTGACCTCAAAACCTGTAAATTGAACAACTTTCCTTCTGTAAGTCCTTTGAATTTAGTTAGACACTGTGCTCTCACTCTTCTCTAAATAATTTCAGCTCCCTAAACTACATAGCTGTCACTATTCTATAATTTGTTCGAAAACAATTAAATAATAGTTTGGGGTTTTTTTGCATTTTTACATATAAATTCTTTTGACCACTAGTATTCAGAAATATAGTAGAAATGTGTTAGGCTTCTAATCATACTAGTAGAGACCATTTTACATTACATTCTTTATTTTATCACAGTTCAAAACAAACCCACATGTGAAGAAAATTATTTTGGTTGTCCTAGTGGAAGATGTATTCTGACCACCTGGCTTTGTGATGGGCAGAAAGACTGTGAGGATGGAATAGATGAATTGCACTGTGGTGAGCATTTTGTCTTATTTTCATTTCTGTAATCACTAATGCACTTGGAAAACAGGAAGATGTGTGTATTTTTATCTTAGAGACTGAATCTAGAGCTGTGTAAAAAGGTCTCTATTCTCAGATTCAGCTGCTTAGTACTTCATGCTGCCAATATCTTAAATCCTGTCTTGTGCCAGAATGAAAACCCTATAAAAAGTTTTTTCTCCTAATGATGTGTTTGTATACAGACTTCTTTAATGCTCTATAATTGAACAATTTCATAGTTCCTCATTAGTACAGTTTTATATATATAAAATCAGCTTTTATCAGTATCTTGACCTCAACAGGAAGTAACAAAATATATATTTTTGACTAAAAAATAGACATTTCTTTGCATCAGAGGTTACAGAAATTAATTACTTAAAGTAATAGCAAAGGTGATGTGAACAGAATACAGCATAAACTGTGAACCAAGTTAAGGGTCCATTCTGTCACAGATCTTTTAAGATTCATAAACTCAATCAACGAGCAGGTTGATTTTGCTCATAGTGAGACCTGGCCTTTTAATTTTATGTGGATTAACTGGAAAAATTATTTATATAACTAAATTGTAGCAGAACAGCCAAAAAAGCAATCTCAATGGTTTTTCATTCCCTATTTAAACAAAAATCGAATTTTTTATATTCCTTTTTTTCTTTTTTTTTTTTCTTGCTGTACCACTTAACATAACCGAAAGTTATACTTTACTCTCTTATGACCCAGCTTCCGTTAACATGTTTCTGTGTTCGGTTTGCAGTTTTTATTGTGTATACGCATCTTACAATTTCCAAATTAGGAACTGCTGTGCATTATGAAAATCAGAAGGTTTTGTGTTGACCACATTCATCAAACGTAACTTGATGTTTGCATTTCCAGGTTTTATTACTCATACATACTTAAGTGCAATATTGTAAAACCCAGCAGGTGATTTTTGAGGGAGAATGAGGAGGGAGTTTAGTCAATTCTTTTTTCCTTACGTATTGGTCTTACCCATTTTGAAGTACTTGTTACAATAATCTGCTCTCAGGTTCACATTGCATTACCTAGAATTATTTGTGTCATCAGTAAAAAAAAGATTATTCATAAAGAAAGAGGTCTGGGAAAAGTGTATGATTTGACATTTTCAGAAAGGGTCATAATAATAGCATTTCTTTAGAATGGTTGTGCACACAGATTTTGAAGATGTGATGAGCATGTGATTATTTTTAATGTATACAAAAGTTTAAAAAGGACAATGGAATGCAAACATACAGCTTTTCTTCTTGTCAGAGAAAAGAACACGAAATTTTTTTAAAGATGGAGTTAAATACTGCAATACCAAGACAAAGACTGTGTTGGAAAATTTCAACTGTGCCATCTCTGCCCTACTGCTAAAATACAGCAGTTCACTATCATTATAATATCTATGTGAGATATAAAAACCTGACTTATGTTTTTAATATGTTTGTCCTTATCCCATTACCACAATGTTGAAAAATGTTAGAATGTGGTTTGAATGGTTTTATTTATTTATTATGATGAATGTGTTTGTGAATGCAATTGGTAACATCCTGAACACCAAGATTAGGATTATACTGTTTGACCCAGTGCTGTCGTGAACCTAACAAATGCAGTGGCCGGTGTCATTCCTAGATTCATCTTGTTCATGGAATCAGTTCGCTTGCTCTGCAAACAAGTGTATCTCTAAGCAATGGACTTGTGATGGTGAGGATGACTGTGGAGATGGTTTAGATGAGAGTGATGCTATTTGTGGTAAGTAGAATAATTTCAGTTCTGTCTCATGTCGGGTCAATCATGCTGAAAGAGAACGAGTGATCCAAGAAGGTGGTGGAAGGGGTACAAGTACAGCACCTCCAAAGAGCATGTGCTTTAAGGATGGGGCATTAGAGGATATCCTCCCCAGCCCCTTCCAGCCAGCAACTAGATACCATTTTATGGGGACTTTATGATTTGTGCATAGTCTGTCAGTGAAGGTGTGAATGGCATGCCAACATAGGCAAAAGGGGAACCAAACTTTCCTCCAGTTCCCATCCTTGATGTAAAACCCCTCTATCGCTCTTCAGGTTTTACGTTTCAGTGGTACGTGCTTAAAGACTCTGAGGTTGGGGAGACTCTAAAGCATTCTCCAGCTCTTTCTCCTGTTCCCTTAAATTCTTTACATATATAAAGTCAAAAGCGTTGTTGCATAATATTTCTCTCAGATTCTAAAGCGCTTCAAATTGCGTAGGGAATTGAAAAATTTACTTTCATTCTGGCGTTCTGTTGATTGGAAATACATTAGTGGATGTTTTTTGAGAGAAAATCACATTGTATGAAGTCGTCCTATCGCAACCTCATGGCATTTGAAACTTTAGTTCCATCTTTATTTATGCTGTATTTTAGGATTTCTTTTTTTAAGATTTCAGCCTTTAACTCTTATTAAATATTTGTTCCTTTTCAAAAATCCTCTTACTTAAAATACTCTTTGTTGAATGGGCTTTATTTCATATTTCATATGGAATACCACAGTAAAAATACTGTTGATAACTTCACTGGAAGCGTGAATGAGACAGAGAAGAAAATTCCTCAGTTTATGTTCAGAATTGTGGTTTGTTAAAGTAGTTTGATGATGAAACACAGATGTAGAAATGCCAACAAATTAAAAGGGCAATGGTGGAAATTATATTGTTACAGTACGGCAAAATATGAATGAGTTACTACATTTACTTCAAGCTGACATCCATCCATCCATCTACAGCATGTTTCTTCACTGCAGAAAATTAAGCGACTGTAACAAACATGAAGAACAGAACAAATACATTTGGATCTCTGTCTGCTCTGTGCATAGTATTCTACACGTCACGGTGATGTAGTTGAGAGGCGTCCCTGCCCATGACAGGGAGATTGGATTAAAATGATCTCTAAGGTCCCTTCCAGCCTAGGCCATTCTATGAAATTACTTCAGTCCTCTTACTGCATCTACTTCAAAAAACTTTTGGTTTGACTGAACACAGGTTCCTCGTGAGGGGGTGTGGGAAATTCTATGAAATAGCAGATTGTCGAAACTATACTGTAAAATACAGTCTCAGCCAGCAGGTTTACCAGGATGTGCAGAACAGAATCTTCTTTCAGGTTTATTTTCAAACCAGATAGAATGTGTTCAGCACTCTCACGTAATGTTTTCTTCAGGTTCAGTGACCTGTGCAGCAGATACGTTCAGTTGCTTGGGCTCCCGCGCCTGTGTCCCCCGGCACTGGCTTTGTGACGGTGAAAGAGACTGTCCTAACGGAAGCGATGAACTGTCAACAGCAGGCTGTGGTATGTTTGTTTGTTAAAAACACATCAAATTTATTCTCCTGGTACTTTTACCTTTGCAATAGCCAGGTGCTGCCTGCGTCTGTAGCGTCGTACCGTTATACTATCAAGATTATTAGCAAAGATTGATGTGAACGTACATGCCAGGATATTTCAGTGATTTAATCAACCTGACTTCTTCAGGTTTTTTAATACATGCTGAAGCACGCTGGCTGAAGATCAATATGTGTGGCACGTCATAGACATTGTACAGCATGTTTACTAATGAAAATTAGTGCATTATTGACAGTGCAATTTTATTGCTTTTCCTGAAGAAAATGCTGGCGTGTGTCAGGGAGGTTGTGCATCCAAAAGGGAGATACAGCTCTGTCTCTAAATTATTCTGGCTAGTTGTTTAGATCTTTACATCTTTTGGCCTATCAGCTATTGCTTCCAGTCTTCTGAGATACCTTTCTATTAAAAGTGTCAGGAGTTCAGTAGTAATTTCATTAGGGATTTTGTTTTATTAATGTATATAAAAATGGTATAAGTTAATAACATTTTAAAAACGGTCTCTCCACTGAGTGCTGTCACCATTTCTAGGCTGAGTCATATTTTGAGCATTTATGGATTTTAAAGGGCTTTTGTTCAGGTGCAGAGTAATGTAGGAAGGACATCTGTACTTCCCAAATTTTCTTCTCCTCAGAGACAGACCTTAGGTTAGCTGTAGAGTGCATCAAGTTCTGAAGCCTTTCTGTCTTGCATCACGTGAGATTTAGGCTATCCTTATTTCTTTAGCTATATTTGTGGTGACAAGTAGCTCCTTCTGCTATTGAATTGTGTGATGCTCTTTGTATGAATCAAAATTTATGGTTATTTCCATTGAATTCACTTAGACTAACTGCTTTGTATTTCATCTTTCTGTAAGAAAATGGCTCTGTATCTTACTGTTCTCAATTTCATTTATTTTTATGTACTGTATTTTCCTTAGCTCCTAATAACACTTGTGACGAGAATGCTTTCATGTGCCATAACAAAGTCTGCATTCCCAAACAGTTTGTATGTGACCATGATGATGACTGTGGAGATGGATCAGATGAATCTCTGGAATGTGGCAAGTATAACAAAAGTAGAGTAAACAGAAAAATTCCAAACTGTTAACTGTAAGGCCTTCTGCAAGGTCTATTACTCTAGGTCACTATTGAAAAAGCTCTTTTTAGAATTGTTTTGGTATTAACTTTGTGCATTAATGAATACAATTTTTATTTACCTGATGCTGGAGCTACAGGGACAAGTCATTTACTGTACTTGTGACTTAAAGGATTACTGATAACATTTAACAGAATTTCAAAATGTACAGTCTATAATTTCTTGTTCGTTTTGTGTATCGTATCTTTTTTGTCTTTTTCTGTATACACATTTTTTCTGTCAATTGATGGAACATCTCTGCCATGAAAATTTCTTTGATACAAGTTTTAATTCTATTGTATAATCCTGTATTTTTAATGAAATCTTTATAATAATTACTTGTAAACAAAAAAACGGCAATAATTCAAGCTGGGGAGAGCATGAGAACAAAATATCACAAAAAACATTTTGGGGGTATAGTGATTTCCAAAACATCTGTTAGAAAGCTACTTCATAATAATAACAAAGAGTTTGATTACACCTAAAAAAAATGTGTTTATGATTGAGAGCTGCATAAATTTGTTTTACATATGTGGGAAATGTTTCATGACCATACTGTGCTGCATCAGAAAATTTGATTTCTCTGCGGGTAGGCACGTATGAGTGTACAATGCGTGGGATCTCTTTATGGAAGAAAAGATACTTTTACTTACATTGCGTTGTATACGCAAAATTTTATACCAAAAGTATGAAGTGAAGCATGAAGCAATTGATTGCTGTGTTTCTAGGGTATCGTCACTGTCGTCCTGGAGAGTTCACTTGTGCTGATGGAAGATGCCTTTTAAATTCGCAGTGGCAATGTGACGGTGATTTTGACTGCCCAGACCATTCTGACGAAGCACCGATAAACATAAAATGCAAAAGTTCAGGTTTGTATGTAGTTTTTTTTTTTAATAACATGTGACCTTTTTGTTTCGGAAAGCAATGGTTTAGAATTGTAGGTAGGGAAGTAGGTAGCTTAAATCTCCAGTGCTTTCATGGTGCTTTTCCTTTGGTCTTGCCAAGATTGTATTCTCAAGCATCCAAAACTTCCATTCACAAAATTCAAGCCACCAACTCCTTTGCCATAAGGTGGCTGCTAGTTCCTTAGTTCTTTAATTCAGCTAGCACTAAAATGAATTGCCAAAGTTTCTGAAAATGTTTACTATGTTTAATACAGTAATCACAGCAGTAGATCATAAAGAGGATGTTATATTGTTCTGCCTCTAAATAATAAGTACTGATTTCTTTTTATTAGTAAAATACTTACCAAGTGTGGTTGGTTTTAGTGATGTTCTCTACTGACATGAATAAAATTGCTGAGGTCTGACTGGGGTTTGAGAGTTAAATGAATCTTGACCTGCACAGGATATTCTATGAGTTTATTGCACAGTAGCCTAGTCCTTTGTCCCGATTTTGCTGGATATCACTCGTTTGCTTTGAGGTGTAAGGTAACAAGCCTACCTTATATTTAAGTGTTCTAATTCTGATTTGAGGAACCTGCAGGTAGCTTAAGTGGTGTATTCAGATTTTGCCAAACATGGAAAAAATGTTCATGCATGTCCTCAGGTAAGGAATGTGTCAGAATTCAGTCATGTTACTAAACACCTCAGCATCCACAGGGGAGCGGAGCTATGCTTTTTACATTTTCTAAACTGTAATACTGTATTTTATCCAGAAATAATGCAGATTCTCGATTATATGAAAGCAAATGTGTAGAAGGCAGTAGTAAGTTTAAGTCTTCATATGTTTTCTTGGAGAGGAATAACCTTTAAAGACACTGAAAAGTAGGTGGAGTTATCAATAAGAAATGAATATTCAATTTTTATACAATTGTTTCATCTCACATGCACACATTACTGCTGATCTATAAGAAAATTCATTCCAAATGCAAAGAGACCACACTAAGTTATGTTCTCTGTTTTTGTTTTCCAGAGCAGTCATGTAACAACTCTTTTTTTATGTGCAAAAGTGGCAAGTGTATTCCTCAAAGTGATGTTTGTGATAGCAAAGAAGATTGTAGTGATGGATCTGATGAGAAAAGCTGCTACATTAATGAATGCCTCAGTAAGAAAGTTAGCGGCTGTTCTCAAGATTGTCAGGATCTTCCTGTTGGATACAAGGTGAATAATTAGAAAATGTGATGTCATATAACACAAATTCTTAATTCTTAACTGTTTCCTAACAACCTGATGTTTATAATAAATCTTCAGTGTCTTTTCCTTCCCTTAGTAGCTTACATACTGTAGTAAGAGCATTAAATTTTTTATTTCCAGTAAGCAAACAATTGCCAATTTTATAACAAAGAGGTACAATACATACCTTAAATGTATAGAAAAGAACATACAATGCTTTAAGTACAGCAAATCACATCGATGTGTACAGACCACTAAAAATCAGTTGTGCAAAAGAATAACACATAGGAATGAGTGAATAGCAGGAATAGCAGTTTTCACCCTTTTTTTTTTTTCTTTAAGTCAAAGAGATTGAGAGGACTCTTTAAATAGATTATCATTACCTTAGTTGCAGAATAAAACTGTTAGTCGTTTGCATGAGTTTTCTGAATCACCTGAATCTGCTCTTTGGCTGTGAGATGTAGAGAGGAATATTGGATATTATGTAAATCCTATCCGCTGACTGCACTAACCTGTAAGTAGAAGCTGAGAACAGAAGAGAAGTTCGGGGTTTTTTCGGGGTTTCAACTCTGAAGTAACCTTAATGACACCCTGAATGTTTAATTTTTAAATAGAATATTGGCCCACTAAATAAAATCTGTCCAACATGACTTAACTGTAAACACATTCAGACCTCTAAAACCGTGTCCTAGAGGCCATAGACTAGAGAGCTGGCGACTACACTGGCTACAGCAAAACCCTCGTTGTGGAGGATCATGTCATGGGTGTCTGCAAAGAGAAGTACAAAAAATACAAGAGGGAATGCGACACAAAATTTTCCACTGATGAAATGATGCCCGTTTCAATACCTCTCTACCCAGTTGTATTTTGCATCATTCATATTGCGTGTGATTAGCTTGCCACAGTGATCGTCAGGCCCCAGTAAAAAACAGCTTGAAGAGTTCTCGTTCACCTTTCTGTATTGGTAATGCTAGATGTTATCAGTGCTTCAAGAATAAGTAGTAAAAACTGTATATCTTTGCCAAAAAGCACGTGCGTACTTGAAAATGAGGAACTCCAGCTCCATCCATCGTTATTTTCATAGAAGAATCCTCTCCATATTTCTGAAACGATGTATTTTACTTCAGTTAAGGAAGCAAGAATAATGACTCATTCTACAGGGTTATTTGGGAGGGAATGTTACTTAGGATCACACCAACAATAGTTGAAAAGAAATGTAGGTATGTCTGCCTGTAAGTGACATAAACAGCAACATAATTAAGCTTACTTGAAAAACTGAGACTACAGGAAAATGTTTATGATACTAACACATTCAAAAAGAATGTGTTACCAAAGATAAACAGAATCCAGTGCGTAATTCAAAACTAATGTATTTGTTTTTCTTTCCCAGTGCAAATGTTGGCCTGGATTCTTGCTGAAGGATGATGGCAAAACCTGTATAGATATTGATGAATGTTCATCTGGATTTCCCTGTAGCCAGCAATGCATCAATACGTATGGAACCTACAAATGCTTGTGTGCAGATGGGTATGAAATACAACCTGATAACCCAAATAGCTGCAAATCCCTTTCAGGTATTTTTTTTTTCTTTTTTTTTCTTCAATCCACAGCTGTATGCAAAATAATTTGTGAAATACCATAGCCCTATGGTCTACGTAACTCTTTTATACAAGACAGAGTTACTCCAAAGCACACTACTTCTTGTGTAAGCAATAGGAATGTGATTCAATGTCTGAATGTAATAAGAAGTTCTATTTTTAATATGTAATTTGCTCAGGTAATTTATAGGGAATAATTAGAGTGGATTATGAAAGTATGAATTAGTAACTTTATTAGAAAACATATTAAGAAAGTTAAATTACATCACTTAATGCTACTTCCAAGTGATAATAGTATGTTTATGATAAGTGTTTAAAAGATTTCTGGTTCTTTTCATCAACCTAAATATTAGAATGTACTTCAGACTTGCTGGTGTGAAAATGAGGAGCAGAAAAAATAATAGAGGTTGCAAAATCTATTATTCCTGTAGCATATGAAATCCTCCAGCCTTACACGTAATACATAGCGAAGTTCAAGATACGTAAGAACGTTGATTGTTTCCCCATGTCCCTGTCTATGCCACTGATGGTGATGCTAAGTGCTTCAGTGTGTGGGATTGGCTGGATCAGTGAAATGTCAACAGAGTGAAATGTCAACAGGAAGGAAATAAAAACCCCATTACGCAGGGGAGGACAGAAATACAGTATCTGCTTTTTGTTTCACACCTAGCAAGCCAACTCATCCATTTAGAGTCTGTAGATCACGCATCAGAGCACAGTTGATTGGAGCTGCAACATCTCAAACTTCAAAAGCAATCACGACCGAGCTGTTTGCACTGTGCCAGGGGCGGTCGTGCTTCGAGGAGGGGCCACGATGGGGAGGTTTAGCCTAATGCTGATTTCTTGCACGAATGGCCTTGAACTCTTTCCAAGAGAGCAGAACATAACAGCCCTTCTCCACAAACCACTAAGAGTCAGTGCAGAGGATGATGCCTCCCATCCTTCAGCTGTCGGAGAATGTCTTAAGAGCTGAATGTAAAATTCAAGCAAGGTGGTACAGTGGTACAATTTGGTATGAGGGCAGAGTAGTCTAGGCAAGACATTACATTCCAGAAAATAAAGGCACCTTTTTTATGTTATTTTTTCACTGTTACGTATGTCAGTATCAGAGGTGCTTCAAAGTAATGGCATGAATGAGTATCTGAAGGAATGTTTTTTGATAAACTAGAAAACTAGTCAACAGGCCATACCTAGCTTAAAATCAGAATCAGAGAATCAAGGTTTGTCCAAATACCTGTTTCTTTATGTCGAACCGTTCAATGTCTTAAAATCTCACAAAGCAATGGTCAAAACATGCTTGGTTTGCAAATGTAACAAATAGTCATAATTTGAAAGTGAATGTTGAAATTAAAACAAGTGGTATGGAATTTGTTTCAAATTTAATCTCTGGTGTTGAATTAGGATAAAGTACAGTATGGTTCCCATATTACAAAGGCAAAAAAAAATTACTTTAAAAGGTATACTAATTGATTGCTTTGTTCATTTTTATACTGCATCATTGATCTTTCTTGGAACATTTGAATGTTTTAAATATTTCTTTCATCCATAACATTGATCAGAGCATGTAACATTTATTTTTCAAACCATCTGTATTTCAGCATTGTATTCCTGATTTTCCATAAATTAACGTAAAAGCTAGTCTAATATATTCTTTCTCCCGGGGTTTAGATGAGGAACCTTTCTTAATTCTGGCTGATCATCATGAAATAAGAAAAATTAGCACTGATGGATCCAACTACACTTTGTTGAAACAGGTATAATCATAGCCATGCTCTAAGTTTAACTCGATACTTTTATTCTTTTCTAAAGTGTGCAACTGACAGAAACGTCATCCTACAATTGGCATTGTATGCACCATAGAACAACTGCAGTATCTCTGGAGTTTTTATAGTATTTTAAATTGACTATTTTATCAGAATTTGACATGATTAAAGCTCAGGCAGTTGTTTCGTCAGTCATTCTGATGTACTAAAAAAAAAAAATGTTATTTGTGATCCTCTTCCATCACAATATGTTTTGCACAACGTGTATATCTCAGGTTTTAAAAACAAAAGAAAACCCAAAAACTATTTGGCCATTTGTTATTTGGGCTATGTACTGTCATAATCCAAATCAGTTTTTGATTTAGACAGACAATTCCAAGATTTACAGTATTACAGTGCATGAACTTCTTTGGCTAAATCTATTTTTTTAAATATTTATTCTAAATTATTGTAACAGGAAAAAAACCTGTGAAAACCAGTACAAATTAGAAAGTCATTTAGTAAATACAGAGCTGTTGTTTTAGCAGTTTCTGTTCTCTTCTATGCTTCACCTAAGTGTAGTTACTTACCATAGATTAGAATTCCAAAATATGTTTTAGTAAAAACATTTATTTCCTTGAGTACTAATTAATCAATTTTAGAAAGACTAGTTAATCAATTATTGCCAGTCAATATCGTTGGGCTTTTTGTGACTTCTTGTGTCAGTAAGCTGTGCACCTTAATGTCACGAGAGAGGTCAGGTCTTGCTTAGGTCTTCAAAACGGTAATTACAGAATTAACCATCTTGCATTAAACATTGACTTTATTTAAGCACAGCAAGCATTATGTTAAAGTCTGTTCTGAAATCCTTCTGACTACCTCTCATTTACATCCCACTGCCTCTCTCCTCTTTTGCTGGTATACTTATTAACAGAAGCCTGTGAAAAGAGGGGAGCTATGATAGATTTTCTTTATGGTTGGTGCTGACAGATTGTCTCAGATCTTCATCACTCGGGAGTTTAATGGACTCCTCTTCAGTACACTAGAGACCATGTAGCTCCATCCATTGAAGAGAATATGGGTGTTCCTGTCACATTAATTCACTAGTCTGATAAATACCTCTGCTGTTGAACCTACTGGCCTTTGACCCTACAAATATTGCATTTCAAAATGCATCTAGATTTGAAAGCAAAAGAGGGAGCTATACCAGCAGAACAGGTGGGCTGTCTCCTCATAAGGACATTTTTTTGTCCTTCGAATGTTGTGATGGATCGTCTCTCTTCTTTAGGCATCTACCAGATGAAGGCAAATACCAGAGCTGCTCTGGCAAGGGAGCGAAATCACCCTTCTCTGTGTATTTGATCTGTGCTTTGCCATCCTAACAGTTGTTCATAGAAACTCAGAGTAAGGGAACTGAAAGCATTAGCTCATTCAGTCTTCTCTGAGTTATGTGCCAGCTTTTTTCTACCCTTTTTTTTTTCCCAGAATGCATAAATAGTACAACTGTTTAAATCGTGTCTCATGTATGTTCTTTGCCTTCCATTTTCTTCACTCGCAGTCATCAAAATCCCTTGGACTTCTAGAGTCAGAGTAGATAGAATCTCCCTCCTCATAATTTGTGATTTTTAGTTCAATATTATTTTTAATTGGGGAATGCAGGTTATGGCCTAGGACATCATGTCCTGTGTGTAACAAGAAACAAACAAATCCACAAGTTTAAGATGAGAGACTATTGCAGCTGACGCCATTTGAAAGCTTCCCTATTACTTCTAAAAGCAGATTACATGAAAAATGGCAAAGATTTATGCTAGGAGGGCTTAAAAATGATGTGTAGATCACAAAGAACTGTATTGCAGATGTAAGGAAATAATTTTACATGCAGCTGATTTTCTGATAAATATTTGAACTGAAGTGACTCCAAGTAAAGAATTTACAGCCGAAAACTTCCAGGCAGTAAATTGTTTTTCTAGTCTGACTACTTAAACTTCTACAACACTGTAAATGTAAGGCTAATTTTCTCCCAAATTGCTCACTTTGCTTTCTAGAATGTTACAAATTCTTATAGTCTTTGGTATACATTCACCTGTTGTCTCCTTTGTTAAGAATTTGGGGTGGGTGTTCAGCTGTATATTTATATTTTTATACTAATGGATAAAAAGACAGAAGGACTTTGCAGGGCAGTTATGACCGACAGCGCTGGAGTTGGTTTAGCTAAAACACTCTGTGCGTAGAACTGTAGATAATTTTGAAAAAGAGAGCAGTCCTCCAGCACTGGATTGTTTCAGGCTTTCTTTACTGATGGTTTGTGGCAGCCTAATCACTCTTTTCCTCTACATTTAGATCAAAAGACAGATTAACAGTATTGCACTGTAGTCGTCGGCAGATAAGCCATGTATCGCTTTCTGTACAATTAAGTAGTATTGTTCTTAGCTGTTTAATTTGGAGTTGGCTAGTCCAGTGCATACCCTCTACAGCTATGAATTACGTTAATGAGGGAGGTTACTGGTCTAGCTGAGAGTAGAATGATAAGGGCATTGATTCGTGTGGTTTTAAAAGGAGTCCAGACTGCATCTGTTCTTTTTGCTGCTCCGTCTTGGATTGGTCGCAACATCTTTGCATATTAAGAATAATTGTTATTTCACTACATATCATAATGTTAAGCAGATTACAGGCAAGGCTTTCCTATTCTGAGATGAGCCTTCATCTGAATGTGACACCTCTTTTCCTTGTCTGCCCCTTGGGATGAGAAACTATTATTGTATGCTTGCTCTTTCCAACCTGTGCGAGGTACCCCAGATATCACCACTCTTTTTTACAATGTATTGCCTTAGCAATTGGAGCCATAGGAGACTTCCAGATGCTTACGGGATCTCTTAACTCTCAAACTTGGTGTATATACAACCCCTGTGTGTCTCTATATACACTCACATATATATACACATGTACACAGTACCTATAGCATAGCTGCTGAGAATTTAAAACCTCCTTATTCAGAAATGAATTCTTTTTTTGAACTTTAGAGCTTTGAATTCCTGATGAATTTATATTAATAATATTTTCACTAAGTAGAGATAATAAATTTTATGCTATTTCTGACTTTATTGTTATTAAATGAATGTCATCGAGTTTGCCAAAGTAGTGCCAAAGGTAGTAATTAACAGAGAAAATGAGCAAAAAGTTAATTTTTACTGATAAAGTTAATTTTAATAATAGGAAAGAAAAGCGCAAGCTCTTCATTCAGTTTCATGTGTCATCTGCATTTCTGAAGGGAGATAGTTCTCTGTGACCCTATTTATTTCTGTTAAAATTTTTATCTTATTCTAATTGTTTACAAGTTAATGTATCAAAAAGTGAGAAGTACTTCAAAAATAGGCAAACAGCAAAATGAAACATTTTTGAGTATTACATGTAATGTATTTTGTATTCTCAATGCAATCCAAGAGTTTGTATTCAAACATTTGAATAAATGGATTTTTTTTTATTTATTTTTAGGGGCTGAACAATGTGATTGCAATAGACTTCGACTATAGAGAAGAGTTCATCTATTGGATTGATTCCAGCAGACCAAATGGTAGTCGCATAAACAGAATGTGTTTAAATGGAAGTGACATCAAGGTAATTGAGGATGACTAATATTAAATTTTTAATAATATTTAATTTATTTTTTTTTTAATATTTTGGGAAATACTTCTTCATGCCTTTAACTCAGATTGTGAGATTTTGGTATAGGTGTACAAACACAGTATGAGCTAACAAGTCCTAGTAAAATTTAGTTCCATTTGTATCTTATTTGAGGTAGATATAGGGATGGGTAGAAATGTATTTATGAGCTAAATTCCTTGCGACTTGACAGTTGACCCAATTGACAGTTCAGTGTGGTTTACAGGACACCAAAGAAGAAAAGAGCTGTAATTAAGTGTGAGTTGCGTAAATCCACTGATGTATTATTTCATCACGAATAATTTTTCATGGCTTTCGGTTTATTTTTGTCTTACCTCCACTGAACTGATAATGACAATATCTCATGGTCTTTGCTGTGAATAATTCCAAGGTAAAACTTTGCTTCCATTTCTACGCAGCCTGTTTGTTTTGCTTCTGTAGTGGAATAAGTTTGCAAATCCAATATTAAGCACATTTGTTGACTTACATAAGCATTTTTCCAGAATTGTGATAAACAGTAAGGAATTCTTCTTTGCTTCATTTCTTATGTCTGACCTTCTTAAACATGGAACATGTGAGCAGGAACATATCCCTCATTGTAAACCAGTAAGTTATGCAGAGAGAAGAGATTTCTATTATTATTGCGCAGCTGAGTACCTGGACTGACACATCCTCAGAGCACAATGACTTTAGGCTTTTTGAGGGTTAGGTTTTGAAATGGTCTGGCATCAGTGAACCTTGTTTACATCCTTCACACAGAAATAATTGTTATTAGAACTTAAAAAAAAACAAACAAAAAAAAAACAAAAAAAAAGAGGATGAGTAAGTTATGGCACTCCAGAAGTTTTAGTGAGCACCAGCAAGGATTGGTCCTGCAGAAAATAGAAGACAGGCAAGTGTAAGGTTCAAAATTTGTATCATATTTATTCCCTTTAAACATTTTAGAGAGCATCCTATTCAGCTTCTTGTCCATTCCGGATGAATCTGTATTTCATTATTTTAGAGAATGTTTTCAGGACTGGGGATGACACCAGACTTTTTCTTCCTGGAGCATATTTCTTTCTTCTTTTATTAATATTCTGCAATTTACAGAAAAAGTGTCATATTGGTACAAGTTTTAATCAAGTAGCATGCCAAATTCAAAACAAAAAAAATGAAAATAAATAAATCTGTTTGTATGAATATTTGTTTTTTTCATAGAAAGACATGGCCTAGACTAGGCCTCTGAAAGCTAAAAATAGATGCAAAAATTTATTGAGAATAGCTGTCTGATATTCTGTCAGTAATCTTTTATCCATTGCTAAATGATAACTTGAAGTCTCTTTGACTTAGGTTTTAATAGGTTACCATAGCACATATTTAATAATTGAAGTTACAAGTAGTTAGTTTTCCCACAAAGCCGTTTACTTTTCTAACTCTTTTTCATGGCAGAGAGTGTTTATGGTTGACAGCCTTTTTCCTTGACGTATGAATTTCTTATTGTCTTTCCTTCATTTTTTTTTTTTTGCTAATCTCTGTAAATAAATATATTATTAGTGTAAATTATACTATTTGTGTAAATTATTTTATTTGATGTATTACCCAGAATTTCTCTTTTAGAAGATGACATCTTTTCAGCATACCATTTCTAGCTTTCTTGCTCTGGGAAACGTGATGACATCTTCTATTTCTTCTGCATCTGATCATGGAGAAGATACTTATACAATTGAAGTGACAATATTTTCACATAGACATGTGCAAACATTAGCACAGTGGTTTATAGAGAGTGTTGTAGATTCCAATTAAATCTGTTACTGGAAAATGCTGTAGTAAGCTAGACTGTGTCCATTAAATGTCACATTGGTGAGATCTCAGTGACTGGAATAAGCTTAAAGTGACTCTCCAAAAGAAAGGTCATCAGAAAAAAAGGGACTCATTACTTTGGTAGATGCTTCTCGATAGTGTAGCTAAACCACTGACTACGTTTGCAGAGCTGTCCATTTCTACGTGAAGTGTCCCCTGTTACAGTGCAGTTACACACACACACTGTTTTAACAGTGAAGCTGGTATTAGAAAATGAAGTATTTTATTTAATTCTGAAAAAGATTTTATAAGGTGATGAACAATGTAATAACCTGAAAGGGTGCTTTTCTTTATTCGTAACTATAAAATTGATTTAAAGTATCTTACAGTAGCCCTTCTTACCTTGAAAGCTTTTCAGTATCTCCAAATGGACAATAAAATTAAAAATAACGCATTCAGTAATACATAATCAGGTTTACATGTAAAGTTTTTACTCCATTGCACATGCTTTCAGTGTTAAGATGACAGTAAATTAGAATGTACACTACAGTAGTAAACCCATTATTAGTATCATATAATCATAGAATGGCTTAAGCTGGAAGGGACCTTAGAGATTATTTTAATCCATCCTCCCTGTCACCAGAGATGCCACCTCTCGACTACATCAGGCAACACATGGGGACTGAACAGGAATCGAACTCATGACCTTGGCGTTGTTAGCACCACCCTCAACTGACTGAGCTAACTGCCCTCCTAAGAAATATCAAATATTTTCCAGTATGGCGCTCTCTGATTTTTACTTTGTTTTCTTAAATTCTAGTCACTCAGACTTAATCATGACGTAACCAGAGGTAGAACAAGTCAGAATAGACCGCGCCTGGAGCAGAATTTTTCACCCTAGAAGAAGTTGGACTCTAATGATTTGAAATATTCAAAAATCACTTAGCACTTAGGATGAAGTAATCCCAGTCAAGCAAGATTTTTTAAAATCATGATGATATCTGCAGTTATGTCTATCTAGAGATGTTCGTTCAAGGCTCGGAGTTATTCAAGTCATCAGAAACGTTGTGAATAGCAACACATCCTTTTCAGAAGAGCAAAGGCGTTCCAGTAGCTCACTAAATTACTTCTTAGTTTATTCCTTAATTATGTCATCCTTCTGAAGTACAGAGAATTCTTAGGAAGTTCCTCTTTCTTCTGAAGCATGAATGTTGGAAATAAAGCAAAGTATTTACTTTCCAACTAGGTAATCTTTTTGGTTTGCCCGAGTTGAGTGTCTTTATTGTCCATCTGTCATGATAACACACAGCACTACTGTGACAATAAAATGAAATATATGCTGATAGAGACTGGTGAGAGAAATGGTCAGCTAATGAGCAGGTGTGTTTAAGGACATGGTGTGGGGAGAGAAGCTTCATCTCTGTTCGGTTCTGTGAAAAAATGAACAGAATAATAAAGGGGGAAAAATTGTTTTCTTTTTAATTAAGACAAAAGAAAATTTAGAAACAGGATGAAAATGGAAAGATACAGAATTCTTAAAAGTTGATGCACAATGCAGGGAAATAGAAAATTTGATATATACTATATCATAGTATTCTCTGTTCTTCCTTATTATAAGGAGTGTATTACATTGTCTTACTCATGACTTCAGAACTGTCAGTGTTTAACAGGGAATAATTAATACCTATTTTTTGCATGTTCTGTGTCGCTGCATCATATATCGAGCCTTTCAATATTCTGGTATTAGTAACTCTTGAATTGTTGTTCCTTTTCCCAGTTTTTTAGGTGAATAATTTATGTAATTTTTACTTTTGTAGGTAGTCCACAACACGGCTGTTCCCAATGCACTGGCCGTTGATTGGATTGGGAAGAATCTCTATTGGTCTGATACTGAAAAGAGAATTATTGAGGTGTCTAAACTCAATGGCTTATACCCTACCGTCCTTGTGAGCAAAAGAGTGAAGTTTCCTAGAGATCTGTCTTTAGATCCTCAAGCTGGGTATGAAGCAGCCATTTTTGCAGTAATTCATATTTAATTCTCATTTTATATTTAACTATTTTTTATGGAAGACAGGAAATACTAATTAGTTTTTTATTATCTAACTTTCAGCTACACTGGATGTCAGTAGTCTAAAATGCATTGCCAGTACTTACTATATCATCTTTACATATAAAATTGGTATAATAGAAAGATGAATGCAGGTACTAAACCATGTTTTGTTATATTCACTACTCTGTAATTTATAATTTTTTTGGTAGGAGGAAAGGTGATGGGTATTGCAAAAAAAAATCCCAATATTTTACTTTTTTTAAGTGTGTTATTAATAGCAAAAAAGTTCATTTTACATGGAAGTCACTTCTTAACATTTTGTTTCATCCGTTCACTGAACTTCTTTGTTAGTATTCTTTTCTGTGTTTACGAGTTTCCAGAATAATTTAAGCCATTCAACTCCCTGTGGAAAGGTTGCCCTATGTGTGTATCATTAGGATAAATCTGCATAAATTGGGTGAATAAAGCTATTGTATTGTCTTATAACCCTCTTATATTATCATAGCTAATTAATAGTTCTCTTCCATCTCTAAATCCTAAGGCTAATAAATAATCTCAAATAGTCCTCTTAAGTGTCAGTGACAGGAGAAAATTGTTGACTCTGTATGGGCTCTACATAAACAACTGAAAGCAGTGTATTTCTGAACTTAAAAATGCAACCTATTTACTTCACAAGTTTGAAAAGTAATTTTCTAGCAGTTCTTAGAACCAGAATTTTCTTGTAATTATACCCTTTCTTCCCTGCAAATTTTGATAGGGATGATGGGAGACATTTGTTAAATGTATTCATGATACCAATCTTGAGTATCTCTCTTGGATTGACTGGACGTGCAGGATACATTTCCTGTGCCCCAGTCTTCTGGGAAGGTTTAGACATACAGAGGCATAATAAGCTTACTGTGTAGAGACAGCTTTCTGAGGCCAAGTTTAGTGTGTTTGGGTTTTGTTTTTTCTTAAAATAAATATTTTTTGGGGGGAAGGGGGTTATATGAAGAGCTGCTAGAAATAAAAACTATTTGCATTTCAAATTCAAAGTTCTCTTTTGAAATACTCTTAATTTTATTTCAGTGTTTTTCTCGCAAATGACAAATGCTAAATCAATGGTATTGTTGACACCGTACAACAGTAATGATATGTTTCCACAGGAAAAGGTTTTCACCGGAGTCATTGAAGACAGTTCCCTTTCTGTACTGCTTATGTGGAGCAGTCTCGGAGCCCACATATTGCACCTGTGTTTTGTAGGATACTCTTAGCTGTTCTTAGGGTCGTGGTTTTCTCCTGCACACAGATAGTATTTCTGGTGGCTATTAAGAATATGATTTTGAGAGCCTGTCCCAAATCTGTTAAGTAGAAGCATATCAGCTTCCCAGCTGGAAAGATCTCTCCTGAGGTTCTAAGGAATAGCATAAAACAGGAGCGATATACATCCATGCATATTGCTGTTTTAAAAATAAAAGAAAACAAAAGAAATCAAACCCTTCCCCAAACAAACTGGTTCTGCGTTGTGGCTAAATAGCATATTGAAGTGAAAATTGCCACTCAGCTTTTCAACAGTCTTTCTCAGTACAAGAAAGTGTTCTAATGTTTTGGAACTAGTACTTTAAATCCTAAGGTGTCAAGACTTAAGCAATTTAAATGCACTTTTTAATACTCCGTAATTAATATGATGAAATTACATCTAACATGAGGAGTCTTCCTTTACATTTAGCACACTTATTCTCAGACAGGTCTGGAAAAAGCCAAAAATCTATCTGGACAGGGAAAACATCATAGAATAATTGCTGATTTATTCTTGAGATGAACTAAGTAATTACTGTTGTTATTTTTGCATCTCTAAACAAAACAGCTGTTGTGTTTTGTTTTATAGATACTTATACTGGATTGATTGTTGTGAGTATCCTCACATTGGCCGTGTTGGCATGGATGGCTCCAGTCAAACAGTTGTCATAGAAACACAGATATCTAGACCTATGGCTCTTACAATAGATTATGTCAACCACAGACTCTATTGGGCTGATGAAAATCATATTGAGTTTTCTGACATGGATGGATCTCGTAGACATAAAGGTTGGTCAACAGCTTGCTTTTGAGGTTTTTTTTGTTTATTTTTTTTTCTTTTTGGTAAGTTTTAAATTGAAGGTGCTGTACATGTTATGTGTAATTATATGTAAAAATTGTACTTCTAAACATTTTTGCAACCTTTGTTGATATGTTGTTACCTTTGAATTAATATTTTAGAAGTTGCTTTTTCTATTCCTTCTCTGTTACAAAGATGAGTAATTTAAAAACATGCAATAATGAGTGCCCATGGAAAAAATGTCAAGTAAGAACAGAAACTTCAAGAACGGGTTCAACGATCGGAGGCTGCCCTGTCAGTTCTGTATGTGCAACATATGTTCTTGACAAAGTTACAAAGCCAGTTGAACTTGGCTGTTAAAAGTGCAAGGATTATGTCCTGCGTGCAATGTGTCAGAATGTGGGTAAAAGCAGTTTTTTCTCCAGCCTGAGAAAGACTGTAAATGCCTGGTAGTTTGCTCAACCTGAGTCAGTAGGGGAGACCAGTATTGCAAATGTAGTTTGGGACTTTCCTGGTAGATAGGCAAAATAATAACTTTTGAAATACTTGTGCAATGCAGTAATCTTTATCCCTCTGTTCTGCCTCTCACCTGACAGGTAATGAAAAAGCTAGTATCTTTTAGCTATAAAGTGTTTAACTATTTATTATATTTTTTACACTATGATGAATAGATCTCATATGATGTAATTAAAGACCTTTCATTGTAATTCAAATATATGAAATACTCAGTATCTGTGTTCTGGGTGGTTGGTTGGTTGGTTGGAGATGAAACTGTTACTTGAGCTTCTTTCCACAAGTTTTGCCCAAAACTCGGAGCTCCTGCTATCCTCGTAAAACTTCGTACATTTGGGTTTTGGGGTTTTTTTTTGAATTTTATCTCATTAGGGGCTTCTCCAGGTTTTCTCCGAAGAAGAGTTTATGAAATAACTACTTTATTTTCATATTTAAGCTTGGCTGTGAAACAAAGGTTTTCTAGCCCTTGTATTTGTGACTAGTAAGTTATAGCTAATGAAGAATTCTGTGACAGTTATTTGAGATGGTAGATGAGAGAGACTACAGCAATAGCTGTGAGAGCTGTAAACATTCCCATTAATCTCAGCGTTAAATTCTGTGGCTTTTGTACAGAACAAAGGACACTTGTAACCTGCTCACCTAAGCACTGCCTGCCCAGACGTACTCCCAAGTGCCAGCTGCACTGCTGCTAACAGTCTGGTTTTGATAGATGAAGGAAAGCTCTGTACTCCTCTTGATGTTATTTCTCATGCTTCTATCCTGCTATTTTGTTCTCATACAATTATCCTGTTACTCCTCTTTCTGGATCTTTCAAAGGAGAAAAGTAAATAATAGCCACTGTGTGTCTCTCAGCCCTAACCTGACTGCAGTGGTCAGACATATCTCGATTTTTTTTTTTTTTTACCTGAAAGTTTCAGAATTTTTCTTTCTCAGAGAATGTCTTCCTGTCACTAAATTTCAGAAAATAGCTGTGAAATTCCAGTCCTGCTGTCTTTGCTGTCCATTGCCTAGCTCTCCAGCCTGTGGATTTCTCTTGCCCGAGTGGGTAAAATTAACTTCAGGTGCTTTTATGTTCGCAGAGTTAGTGCCTTCCCCTGAGGATATGTGAACCTGAAGAAGAAGGAAATGTGTCACAAAGCCACAGCTGGGACCAGTGCAGTGTTTCATAAAACAAATTCTCTTTCTCATTCAACAGAGCACCCCCACTGCTAGTCTGAGACAGCCAAGTGCATTCATGACTACAGGGAAAGTGCCAGGAGTCAAATATCACTGGACACTCTGTAGGCTTCCCTGCCTGATAGTTTTGCCATTTCCGCCTGTGAATGCAAATTTGTACAGGTTTGGTACCAGTTAAATATCTGAGCCAAGGTCCAGATGTGACAGGGACTTTGTGTAAACCTGCTATCATACTACTATTGAGGACATGTCAAAGTCAGATGATATATAAATATTTAAGCAACGAGAAACATGCCTTGGGATAAAAAACCTGAGGTATTCTAATTATGTGAGAGGAAGATTGTCTCCTTAACTAATGCTCTTTGTCACTTTATTGTCAAGAGCTGCACTTAAAATGTGATTATCAAACCAAACTCAAGTTGCAGAAAAGTTCCTGTGGATTTAGCAAAGTGATGGAATCCTCAGTGTATGAAATGGATGAATCCTCCCTGTGAGTGCTCCAAAGGATGCTTGGAGACTTTTGCAAAGCTCCTACATAATGATCAATTTGTCTTGAATCAGAATCTTTTCTCTCTTGCCATTTGTCCTGGAACAAAATACAAAATAAATTTTGTATGTCATCATGTTTCAGCACAAGACTAGAAACATTACAGGAAGATAAACTTGCAAATTTATTGTCCTAATAAAGAAAACTCTGGAAAATTCAGTGGTTGGGGTCTAGCTTTCTGATATGAGAAATAATCCAGGTTGATAAGCGCTTAAATGAGAAAGATCAGGTTTATATCCTGTGGTAACTATGTCTCCTGAAGAGACGTGGATTTCACGGTCCATTTTCCTTTGTCATTTTGAGACGCTTTATATTATCAAAGTTAATAAGAGATGGTTGATTTAATTCTGTCGTTTGTGTTTGCAAATGAAGAAGGTTAAAGGCACACATATGATGCCCATAAATTACACACTTAGGGAGCAGAGGAAAAAGTCTAAATGGGAATCACGTGAGTGAAGCAATCTGAAGTGCTAGTTATTGTAAGCTAAGTGGTTTTTCACCTGTTTCTGTGACTTTGAGGATAAGACTAGCTTGCTCTGAGTTTTTTCTGAGAATGTTGTTTGGACCTTAAATTACCTGTTACAGAATGTATCAGAAAATGCCACAGAGGTTCCACAAGACCCATCAAATAATTATCTGATCGGAATGGGTGGATCTTAGAAAGAGAGTTATTGTATAATAGAGACTTCAATATTCCGTGCTCTGTGCTAGATAAGTCTTGAGGACAAACAGAACAATCTTAGGCTATGTACTGATGTGCTGTATGTTACACCAGGGAGTATTTATTCCAAGCATTGGGAGTTTACATGTGTTTTGGAAATTTGTATCTTAGGTTTAACACTTTTTGCAACAAGTTTTTTTCTTTCTTTCTTATGAATCTTAAAGATTTTTCAGGAAAACAGAACACCTGCTGCTTTTCTCTTGTAAAATTCCTTTGCGTTTCAATAGAGAAATGGTCTTTTATAATCATCAAGAGAGTCCCAGTAAGAACTTTGAAAACATGCTAACTAGGCCAGGAATCTTAGAGTACTCGGGAGCTCTTCTTGGCACTAGGGGCAGCAATGACCTTGCTTATCTATTTGAAGTTTAATGCCTGATTATGTAAACTGTCTTTAGAGCTTAGGCAGTTTCGGACTGCAGCATTCGCAAATGTTATGTGCAGTAAATGATTAAGCAAGCATTGAAGCACTAATCTGGCTAAGCTCTAAGCTAGTTTACATCTGTGATCTTTAAAAAAAAAAACAAAAAACAACAAACAAAAAAGTCATGTTTACAAACAACAAAACAACAAACAAAAAAAACAACAAAAAATCATACAACAACAACAAAAAAAAGTCAAACAACAAAAAAAAGTCATATTTAAGAATTTGTCAGACTTAAGAGCTGCTTTTGGTTCTCACTGCCCAGAGGAGATGGAAGCTTTGCCGTTCCCTGGGTATCTGATTGCTTCATGCAGGTTTTCCTATCCTTCAGAGCTCTTAAACCCCAGAGGTGCCTACCATTCTCCCATCATACTCTTTGAAGATGTGAATTTCAGTATAATGAAACTATAAAAGTGGAACCTGATAGTCCAGTTTGGGGAAGCGTAGAAGCTTCTCTGAGCTGACATTAGACCTTGACTATGTCGTGTTCTTTGATGTTTTACACTGTAAAAACAAGTGTTGTGCACGTCATGGCTTCATCTTACTGGGGCATGAAAATGAGAAAAGCGTTGAACCTTAAAGGAATTAAATATTTGTAAATGAATTTTTAAACTGTACAGTTAACAGAAAGTAAGTTTCCTACAGTATCTCCATCTGAAAAAAAATCTTCAATAATGGCTTCTGCTTTTTCTTTTCATTTTTACCACCTGTAATTTCAGAAATTCCTAATTCTGAGGACTTTGTGTCTAATTCTGAACACCAGCACCAGAGTTTTATAAACAAGTAAATCCAGTTATTTATGAAATTGCTGTAAAAGTAATCTAAGAGATTACAGAAAAGAGTTCCTTCCAGATTTATACTGCAGTTTTCATAGCTCAAAAATTAGAGAAGTGTGTAAAGAAGACTTCTCGCAGCAGATGAAATAAACAGTAGTTCTGGTAATGCAACAATTTTTTCCCAACTTCTGAGGACTCTGTAGAATTACTCGTTATAGCCCAACCTGATAGCACGAGTGGTAATTCCTTCACCTCCACTATTCCATTCTAGATTCAGTGTTCAGAATTGTTCATATAAAATTCTCCAATTCATACATCTTCCTAAATCTGTGTTGTATTCTACGTCTTTTAAATTGCAATATTCAGGAAAAATGCAGATTCACCTATATTAAAAGCAATTCCCACAGTTACATTACTGTAAGGTTCCACAGTCTCCAGTTTATGGAGCCCAGTTTATCAAGATTGCCAGCAGGTTGGTTTCTGTATCTTCCACTGTTCTTGTGATAATATGCACAAATTTGATTGGATTATAAACTTCTGAAAATATTTTTTTCTACATACTCATCAAAAACTTAGAGGACTGTATATTCCCATATAAGCTGGACATGCACCAACACAAATTTTAAAGGATGAGCATTCCTTTCCATGCAGTTGTTCCTGTCAGAAAGCAAACGGAACAAAGAACATAAAATACAGTTTTTCATGTGTCACAAGGTCTCCTCTCTTCATATCAACGCAATTAAAAAAAGGAGGGTTTTGATGAAGAAGGTTGCAGAGCATTTAACGACTCCTGTAGTCGTGGTAGAAGCTAAATGAGATAAAGCAAAAGGACGTAGCAGATCTGCTTATTTTTTTTCTGCGTAATTTAGCTTCCATTACTGGAATTAATGTATATATTCTATGAATAATGTGGGTTTCTTCTGTTCACAGAGTTTGACAGCTTTGCTTTTGTAAAGTAATAGTGATTATACAATGTCTTATCTGTTAAAAGAATTAGTGTTTTAATGTAATATACTTAAATTTAAATACATATGTCAAAATTGCACACTTTCACAAGCTCAATAGACATAATCTTATTGTCATTATTTAATATTAATTGCGTTGTCTGAGCACTTCAAAGTCTTCATCAAAAGGAGGAAGTACCAGGAGTAAGTACTACACAGAAATAAAAAAGTATTGACTAGGTCTCAGAGGAGGTTACAAGTTGAATGTAAAATGAGGTAAAAATGGTTACAAGGGAGTTCGAATGGAAAGAGGACGACAGTATGGGCCAGTAATTGCAGCATAAGAAAAGATGAATGATTTCCAAGTTTATTTGGTTTTGTACATATGGTGTTGTCCTTCCTTGTTTCTTAGTTCTTCCTTAGAGCTTATCAGTTCATTTGGGTCAAAATTTCAGTAGGTTTTTTGTTTTCTTTTATTTAATTCAGAAAATCAAGAGTTTCAGAGTGGAACACAAAAGAACACAGCCCAATTTTTAAGGTTTCTCTTCCTTTAGACTTCACACAAGGGCATGGCAAGGTTGCTGCAGTCCCTTATTTTTGGAAAGGGAAGGGACAGATGTCTTTCTAGCTAGGAAGTGATCAGCCAACTTCAGCCTGAACAGCAGCTGAATGCCAGCGAAAATCTAACCTTGGTGGGCATGATAGAGTGCAGATATTTTTCTTGTGTTTATTGGTTAGAAGTCAGCATTTGTCCTTTTTAAGGACACTTATTCTTGGCACATGGATTTTGCCAGCTGACAAGGAGACCTTTTTGTTGTTGTTTGTTGGAAATACTTGTGTTTCAGTAAAAGCTGAGGGAGACTGGGCTTCACTTCTTCTGTCTGGCCTCTTCAGTAAGCATATTTGGTGGTTAAGAAATCCTAGACAGCATGACTTTCACTCCTGAAATCAAATTAATATTTATTTATTTTTTTACTTAGCTAGAGGTACCCAGAAAATATGAAGGAAAAGGAGTTCACACAAGAGAAAAGTAAACATATTTATCACAAATATGACTTACAGAATATGAATTTATATTAATGGATCAAATTTTGTACTAAAAGCAGGAGAGGGACGTACATTTTAAGTCTGTGCATACTTCTCATGTGTCTGCATAATTGTGTTCATTCATACGGAGATATGTTGCTATTCTTCCCTTAAGTTCATGCAGTGCTTTACCTCCCTTCAGCAGTGTTATCTATTGTCATTTTTAATTGTGTTTGTATATCTAATAATTTTTATTTTCCAAAGCTTCAGATGTGTTTCAAGCCTCCCCTTTTCTTTCCTTTACCCTACCTGCCTGTATTTTTTCCTCCAGTTTTCTGCAGCTTTCTAATAGGCTTCTGCATTCCTTCTCTTTTCTACCTTCTCTTTCTTACCACGTTTCTTGCCCTCTTGTTGTTTGGTCAAGCACTCTTTTGGATGAGCACTCAGTGTAAGAGAATCCATGGTTTATGTGTCAAATGAAACCCCAGTGGAGAGCTAGAAGTGCCAGCAAAAACCCTTTTAGAAAACGGGGGAGTGGAAGGGACTTGCCCATCTCTGGTGGGAGAAGGCTGTGGTAGGAAAAATAGTCTCAAAAGCAAATTTCAAGTGCAGTTTTCTCCTCAGAAATTACTTAGGGTGGTGATTTTGCATACTATGTGTTTTGCCTGTCGTAATTGTTGAGTTGTTGAACGTAAGTAAAATGATTGTTACTGTCACAGAGTATAGCATTTCTTACTCATATATGATTCAGAGTCCATGTTGCAGCGTAGGAGAACTGGCATATATGTTCTGAGATGTACTGTATCGTGACCTGTAAGAAACTTGAGTCACTGCAGTAACTCAGTGGAAACAGTCAGCTATGTAACTCTGTTCAACGAAGGCTCTGGGAAAGGGGCTGAAGGCACTTCTCACCTCTTCTCTCACGCCGTAGCAGCTGCCCCATGTGCCATTCCGTGGTGACGGAGCTGGAGTCCTGCAGCACTTGGGCAGCCTCAGCCTGAACTGCACCTCAGCTACACTCGCTGACATTTCATCAGAGGGAAAAGAGAAGTAATATGTGTGGATTACGAGGTATTATTTAAGGATTTGATGTTCTAGCAATGAGAAAAAAGCACGCATAATAAGTACTGGTCTAGTAAAATACTTACGTGTTGCTTGAGGTGTGTCTGGTGGATTATTGGTCTGCAGGTGGAATGTTTTGTTTTATTTAGTCAATTTTTCTGAGTGTTTTGAGATGGATTTGGCTTCAGCTTATGTAACTGAGGTTTGGAATTTCTCCTGGAGGCCATGGGGCGACATTGTTATCAGAAAACAAAATCCAGTTGAACCTACAGGTAATGCTAGAAAGTAGTTGAGTGCAATTCTCGTGGCTCCGTGTTAAAATGTGACTGTTTAAAATTCTCCATGAATTTACTGGTTGAGATCTGACCCTTAAGTTAGTGTAATGTAATTTTTGTGTTTAACAGAATGTGTTACTTACTAACAGATTGTCAAGTAGGCATCTTGATTAGATTAAATGGTTTCAAACAGGTGAGGCGAGGGAAGCAGAGGTGTACTTATCAGTTATGACTAACCTGGCTTTCCTTGGATTTTGCAGAAAGTAGTCCATTTCCACAGTAGTTGCTAAAGAAAGGAGAGCAATAAGATGTGCTTTCGTGTTTAAAAGTGTAAATCACATTGTAATGTATGCTATGAGGTTTAGTAATTAGTATTGCAGCATCTAACTAATGTATGCCACTTAGGAAGAGAGAATCAGTGATGCAGCCAAGGTTTGCTTGAAGTTGAAGGAGAGACTGAAGAAAGAAAGTGGGTGTTTCTTCTACTACGTACATTTATGATAAATCAATAGCTGTCACCACCTGAAATTCTGTAAAGCTTGAAGCACTGATGTTGTCAAAGGCAAAGAATAAAGAGCATTGAGAGACTATTTTACTGTTCCTTCAGAAAATAAGATGTAATAATTCCCTCACTGTTTTATGTTCAGTTTTTCGTCATTCTTAGTTAATGTGAACTGTAGATTTTTTATAACCCATTACATGTCAACAGTTCTGATGTTCCTTTTTTATAATATACTACATGTTACAGTAAAGAAAATAATATTTAGCTATGATAGATCTATTCCTTAAACAGTAAAGTAAATCAGATTTAGCTGCCATTGAGTGTCTGTTTTCTGAAACTTCTCAGTTTTTACAGATGTATTATTGGTAAGAAAATGTATTTTTTGGTCAGCTCAGAAGAATTTTTATAAGAGACTTTTATACTGTGTGTTCAGTATTAATTCGGGGGTTTTTAAAGAATTTTTAGATTTTTATGATAAGTTTAGAATCTTTGTAAGAAATATTTATATCCAATGATACTGTGCCTACTTTATGTGTGTTTTACTTTACAATTGCCTTGGAGAGTCATTCACTTCTAGGTTGTAGCCCCCCCTTTTCACAATGTGATTCTACAAATTAGGAAAATAAGAACATATCTTGGAGGTACCATCCTGTGTGAGGAACCATGCCAAAGATTTTATGTGATAAGTGCCAAACTTAAGATTTCTTTTCACTTTGACTAATTTCTTAGAAATATTATAAAGCTCTTTGTGATAACATCGTATTGTTATTTCAGTATGATTGCTATGGTTTACATAAACGTACAAGAAGGGAAAACAATTTTAGATCTAAGAATTAAGGCCTCCTTAGCCAGAAGGTAGCATGCCCTACTCTGGAGTTCACTATTGGCAAGACTGTTGTATGCAAAGTCGGATTTGCTAAGTTCTCATTCCATATACTCAGTTTCAGTCAGTAGTTGTCAGTGAACTAAAAAGTGTTCCAACTGAAATTTCAGATTTGCCAACTCCATTTAAGTACATTCCAGGTAAAAAAAATGAAACTATTTTAATCTAAGAAAACAAGGTAAAGGTGTTAAGGATATGCTGTTGAAAATGGCAGATTTAGCTCCTCTGATCTGCCTTTTCAGCTCTCTCAGTAATTAGAATGATTCAGTGACAAAAGATTATAATTTACAAATTGACCGTTGTAGCTAGATATTCTCCTATGATAATTATATCTTGTGATTATATTATATATATTAAAAGAAAAAGTGGAGTTCAGTTTATATTTACCAAGAACAAATAGTTCAAGATTAAAGAGTAAACAGTAAGAAAAAGAATGCTCCAAAGCCTTTTTCCCTTTTGTCCTATCCTTTTTAAAATGATATTGACTCATAATTTTGTGATAGTGTCACAGTGGGGTACTATCATCAATTCATTTGTTTGGATTTTTTAACTTGTATGGTTGGTTATGCTAGGAATAAGCAATAAGTCCTTTTACTGCTAAGTTTATTTTAATGCGAAACACTTTTTTTCCTCCCATCTCTCTTGTTAATATATTTTTCTGAAATAAAATAATGTTAATTAAGGGTGTTAAACACAGTGTATCTGGAGATATATAATTATGTTTTGGATGTTTTCTACTAACTTTTATTTCCCTAAAACAGCAAAAGAATATTGGTCTTCTGTGAAAAGTACATTACGTTCTATTTATGTTATGTACTACTTTAAAGCGTAACATGTTAATTTAGAATCTGGAGGTGATTTTTGTTAACTGAAATTCTCTCGTTTCCTTAACACTGATTGGGACAACTAATTCTAAGCAAGCAGAGCTCATACCCCATCCATCTTTATTGTAACTGATATTAAAGAACCCTCTAGGCTTGACATATTGTCGTGACAATTATTCTCAAGACATTATATAGCAGTTGTATCTGTCAGCCTATGTGGTATGGAGTATTTTAACTGGCAGTCTTCCAAGAGTGAACATTAATCTTAGCATCTCTTCTTGCAGTCCCTAATCAAGATATTCCAGGGGTGATTGCACTAACGTTGTTTGAAGACTACATTTACTGGACAGACGGGAAAACCAAATCGCTCAGCCGTGCCCACAAAACTTCTGGATCAGACAGACTGTCACTGATTAACTCATGGCATCCCATAACAGACATCCAGGTGTACCATTCTTATAGGCAACCTGATGGTAATTATTTTGTCCATGCTCTCTGTACAGCCCATTGATGTATTTCACTTAGTAGCCATTTGCTGAGGCACTTGACCTAGATAAGCTAAATTTTGTTGTCTCGTTAAAAGAAATAGTGATTGTTTCTTCCTCTCATGCTTTCAGTATTGAATCTGGACCCATAGTAGTAAATAATTTTTGCATAAAACAGAGAATAGCTTGAAGACAAAAGGAGAAGGTTGCCTTTTAATGTGTTTTTGATTTGACACATTGCCTTGTAAAAATAGTATGCGTAATACATTTTTCTCTGAAGTATACTGAAATAATTGGCTCTGATATTTTTTTCCTATTCTGTCTACAGTGTCTAAACATCTGTGTACAATAAACAATGGTGGTTGTAGTCACTTATGCCTCCTAGCCCCTGGCCAGAGGTATACTTGTGCCTGCCCCACTAACTTTTACCTCGCCGCGGATAACAAGACGTGCCTATCGAACTGCACCGCCAGTCAGGTAAATGCACATGCATGGGGGAAGGGGGCATGAGGATTGTATTTTACTGTGTTGTCACCTGCTTTTTAAATAGCGAGTGTTGGTGCCTGTGAAATGTGGAAGCATCAGTCAGAGGAGATGAAGACTCGGTAAACTCCTAGATGCATTTAAAGCATTTCATCTTCAAGGCTATTAGTTGAAAATGAGCTTGCAAATGCTTTTTTTCCAGAGAATGCAGAACTTGTTCCCTTTCAACATGAATGTTTTTGCCAGTTGCTAGAACAAATACAGCTACTAAACTCATAAAAATTGCTTTGAAAAAGCATTTGTATAAAATATGAAACATAAGAAGTCTAGGTGTATATAACAATGATTTGGGATTATTCATGTGTGAACAAACTTTACATTAATACACAGAAACAAGTTCAGTTCAGTTAGCGAGGTAGATAAACGATAGGGTTATGTTAAAAACAATCCTGTAGTTGATATAGAAATGGTAGAATATGCAATTAATACTTGCATCAATTAAGACATTAAATTCTTTGTGGCAGGTGGATTCCCTGCTGTAAATAAAAGTTTGGTATTTTTTTCTGAAAATATAAGGTAGGTTAAGTAGAACACACTTGTTTCTTATAAAAGAATCACTTTGATAAAAGTTCTACCAAGACAATTAATTGGTTGATTGTAATAGTTCATATGGCCTTTAAAATCTTTCTAGTAGTTCAGCTCTTCTAGTAGTCCACTTTTACTATATGTTTACTAATGACCTCTTTCAACACTCTGCATCATGATGAATTTTGTCTGTACTTACTAAGGAAAGAGTTTTAATTTTAGGGAACAATGGTCATCTTAATAAAAGATGTACAATTTAATTCAAGTGATATTGTTATTTCAGAAACCTCCTCACTGTGTTCCTCTGTTCCCCTGAGACAATGTTTGATGTAGCTTTATTATGGCCATCATATCTTTTCTGTTTAGATTGTCTGTTACTTCCCATTATGTGATGAACAAAAGAAAGCGTAAAACACTTGTAAAACAAAGAATATGTTAGCTATTTCCCCACTATGTCTAGATTCTCAAATTTGTTTGGTTAAAAAAATGGTACTTTTTTCTTTTTTAAAAAAAAATTTCTTTAAATAACACTGAAAACTTGTTCCACAGTGAATTTATATGCTAACAATTGATTGAATGACTCTGTTTCTTCCTAAATAATTCATTGGTAGTCTGAGCTGAAGGATGACATCACATCTTGGATCTTTCAGGAGCAATGTTTTATCACTTGTGGCTTCTATCAGAGGGGAGAGCAGGGCTAAATAGAAGAAGCTGCTTCAGATAGACAGTTATGAGTTGACACTGGTTATTAGTCATTTTCTCCCAATTTTGAAATATATCTACTGTTTGATAATTCATCAATCTGATGGCATAAGATCCATAGACCAGTAGCCAAAATATACTTTGCCACTCGAGATTTTCAGATGACGCTGTAAAATCCTAGCTGTTCCTGTGATGTAATCACTCTTGACAGCACACCGACTGTTAGCTGCTTCTGATGAAAAGCAGCTGGGTGGCTGATATTCTGGTCTTGCATATCTACAGACTTCCAGCTGTCTTTTGATGGCGTATCTGACCAGGGAGATTGTTCAGTACAAAACACATCAGGCTCTAGAACACCAAAACTCAGCCAGTTACTAGCATGCAAGGTGGCTGGCTCCCCAGTTTAGAAGGGAATGGTGATGTTTTCATGCAGAGCATCATAGCAGCTAAGAGTTCATAGCCATTTCCTAGAATTAAAATCATAACATCATTTTAACAGCCTGCAGTCACTTGTGGTGAGCAGAGCGAGACTGGGAGCTGAGAACAGTTAAGCAGCAGGAAGGCTGTGCTAGCGAGTAGAAAATAGTAGGAATGAGAATTGGCTGAGTCTATTTGCCTCCTACATTTGGAGGCCTTCTGCTGAGCTACTCAGAGAAGCATACTTTTGTGGAACAGGTTAACCGATGAGAATAGCTGCCTTTCGAACCCAACCTCTTATACTGCATGTCCCTCAGCGTGGTAAGAGAATGATGTAGCTCCAACTGTAGGTCTTACATACATGGCCATGAAACCCTAAAGGCCCATGAAACCTTGGGCTAATGAACCAAATTTAATATACGTTTTAAACATAGCTTTATTGAATAATCACTGATTTTAAAAATGTGAATTTGTTTAAAAACAAATATGTCTCATCACTGAACACAAAATGTCCTGCAGTTCTAAACCTGTGGGTTTCCTTCCTTTCTGTCCTCATACAGACACGAGGTAGGAGACACATTTCTTAAAAGCTGGTGACAATCTTTGCAGATTTTTGTCTCTAGCATTAGCCACATAATGAATTCTGATTTCAGGTTTAGCCCTAGAAGATTGCATCAGGTAATTTCTACTTGTTTTGCTTTCATTCCTCTTTCAGTCAGAACAAAGGTACTGTGTTGCGTGAGCGCAGAGTAAAGACACTGCCAAGGTTTTACAAAACATTTTTCTTTTTTTAATAAATATTTTATCCTTTTGAAAGGTTGGAAGGTCTGGCTTCTGTTGTAATTCAAACTATTCAAGCGATAGTGTACAATCCTGCACATTAAGGCTCTTTTCTGTAACTGTGAGTGTTTTGATTTCTCTAGAAAAATTGTATTAAGTCTACTTCAACAGCCTTCAAAGATTGTTTCAGAGTTGAAGTGGTTGTTTTGAATAAGATCTTAAAGAATCAAATCATAGATTTGCAGCAAAATGCAATGAGTTGTTTATATCAGGGACACTACAAGTCAGTGTAGCAATGTCATTGAAACTGCAATGATGTGTATCGGTGGAAGCCTCAGTGCAAAACTTCTTCAGAAAAAAAGAACATTAGAAAAATAAATTTTATAAATTCACAGCCAGAGTTGATTAACGGAACAATGACTTAAGCAGTGAATCTATTCCTGCTTAAAAATAAATAAATAAATACTCATAGAAAGGCATTTCTTCCTTTGTTTCTTCCTCTTACAGTTCCGTTGCAAGACTGACAAATGTATTCCATTCTGGTGGAAATGTGACACTGTGGATGACTGTGGAGATGGCTCTGATGAGCCTGAGGAATGTCGTAAGTGCATTCGGAATTCCGAATCTGGTTTTGTCAGTAGGGTCCAAATCAAATACTACGCTTTATAGAAGTTAGGAAGGGTGCAGGCTATTGTTTCCTAGCCTGTAATAGATTTTCATCAACTCGTGTCTACTACAGCTTTTTCAGGTCTTTGGAAAATCATGAGAATGTGTTTTTCAGGTTTTGAAACTTGATTCCAATTATGGTTTTGCTAAGGATCTTTTTTTGAAGCTATGTTCTACAGTTGCTGATTTTTATATATAAATACAAAATTTTTCCAGGTTTATTCTGCTTGGTTTTGTATGTAATAGAATTGTGCAATTCTAATCTTGTTTGATTGTGTTTCATTGCAGTGATGGAAATTTGGGTACACATTATTTGGTGTGATTTTTCTGAACATTGTTCTCCATGTATTTCCTACTAAAATTCTGTGCATTTTTCAGAATCAGTTTTATATAAATATTTTTTGTTGCACAGTTTCATAAATATTGCCAAAGGAAAGTTGGGAGAGCTAAATTTCACCTCTCCAGCCAGAACAATTTTATGCAACAAACATTTTTCATGCGTCCTTTGACACGCTGTCCTGACGTAGGTGCAGATACAGCATATTTCTCAACAGCCTCCAATAGTCCAGATAGGAAGTTAGTGTAGTATTCTCCTGTTGAACTGTGGACAACTAGAAGTTAATTATGATGGTGTTTTCAGCATCCCAAAGGACGGTTGCTGGATTGGTGGCTGACTGCAAGTTTACTTTTGTCAAGGATTAAGGCTGAGCTGGCCACTAAATGCTGACTTGTTAGAGAAGGCCCTTTCGAACTGGATTTGTAAACAGCAATACCTGTTGATGATGATACTTTTCAGTTAATGACTACTTTAATACTATTATATTAATCTGCATAAATTAAATGATTCTTACCTTCATCCCTTAAGCTTATATACACAAAATGCTCTACTACATGTTCTACAAGCTTCTAGTTAAGTAACAGTTAAGTTGATTTTTGAAATTTCTCACCTGTATTTTTACAATTTTATAAAGAGTTCTCTTTTTCTGCTGTGGAGGCCTTTGAAGCAAGCTTTAAGATATGTAATAGTTCTTCATAAGATTACATTTTAAGCTACACCGTATTTGTATAAAATATTACTGTAGGGGTGCATAATTGCTCATTCATTCAGCTGGCAGTGGCTGTGAGAAGAAACAATGTTAGACCTTTCAGGGGAAATAGAATTAGAGTGGGATAGTGCATTTCTTAAATGCAGACTTGAACTCAAGTGTTTAGCTCTTAAATTGCAAGTCTCTGCTGAGCTAATGGTGAGCATCAACGTGTAGAAGGTTGCACTCTGTCATTAGTAAGGTATAGCTATAGTTATGCAAATTTAAAATCCCAGACTTTGAAATTAATTTTACAATAGTGCATGTACGCTTTAGTTACTAATGTCTGCTCAGATGGAGATTATATAGGCAAATACAAAGGTTTATAAATTCTTCTGATGAGTCTACAGAGGAAGAGCAACACTATTGATACTTTAAGCATTCTTCTGATAGTATTCATAAGCAATGAATGTTTTTTCTCTCAGCTGAATTCAGATGTCAGCCAGGGCGTTTTCAGTGTGGAACTGGACTCTGTGCTCTTCCAGCTTTTATCTGTGATGGAGAGAATGATTGTGGAGACAATTCTGATGAACTGAACTGTGGTAGGTGAAGTATATACATTGTAGACTTCAGCAACATGCTGAACTGTTTAAATGCCATGTTTTAAATTCTTTTATAATCTGTGTTTTTATTCTTTTACACTTTAATTTTTAAATGTTTAATCTATAACTTTCAATCTTTTTAACTTGGTATTTTTCTTCTTTTACCTTACAGACACACATGTGTGTCTGTCAGGTCAGTTCAAGTGCACAAAGAATCAGAAGTGTATTCCAATAAATCTCAGATGCAATGGACAGGATGACTGTGGTGATGAAGAAGATGAAAGAGACTGTCGTAAGTTATGTTTAGAGAGTTTTGTTCTGACAACTGTAGTTGGGTTTAAACAAGGAACTGAAGTAAAATCTGTAAAATACTGTAAATGTCCTCTATGTAATATAAAAAGGAACATGCAAAACAGTTAATTGATGGGATTGATGTACAGTGCTTCATATGAAAGAGAGCAAACTAAAATGTCATTTATTAACTTTTTTAAGTCATTGCAAGGAAAAAGGTGTGTGTAAACAATTAATTTCAAGCATTTAATTGGGTTTCTGACTTAGTCGGAAACATGCATTTTATTCTTAACTGCCTCACAAATTACTTGTCTTCTTGAGGCTTTCATCTGCCATGTCTTGCAGCAACATATTTCAGTGGAAGAAGATACTTTCATCGGAAAAGATGTAGACCCATAGTTCTTCCTGCCTCCTTTGATAGAGTTTTCTACCTTTTCTATTCCCTTTCCTCTGGGGACTTCTGCATTAGTTTACCGATGTAACTTGATTTCCATTTACTCAACTTTTGATACGTCTTTTCATAAATTCATTTTCACGCCACATTTGTTAGATATAAGCAGAGAAAACATTTTCAGATTTGGAGTGGAAATGCATTGAATAGCTTGTGTCTTTGAATATTTTGTAATTCAAATGACAGTGCTGTCTTGAAACACATCTCTGTCCTTCACTCAAGTTGTTATTCAGATCTACTGCTGACCTAAGGTGCTTATTCCTATTTTCTGAATTAATTTTCACAAGGTTTGCATATGCTACATTTCCGCAAAGGGAAGGAAAGGCCATTGACAACAAAGGCTTTTGTTGATGGTCATGTTTAATGATTGTCTTCCAAACAGCTCAGCAGAACTGTAGCCTCTGATAGGCAGTATTATATGTTTGATTGCATGTTACATTTCTTAAAAAAACTGATTGAGTGAGGTCAGATAAACTGTGGAATATAGGGTAGAGGAATATAGGGTATAAGGTTTTTTTTCATTATAAAGAACTGCACATAGTATGTGGAACGTTCTCAAGACCCTGAGGTGTATCTGAAAGAAATTAAATCAGAGCAGCGGAGTCTGCAGCACTGAGCTTTTCAATTGTCTGAAACTCAGCCACCAACCCACCTGCAAAGACACAGTGGTTGAGGTTAATTATATATGTTTTTTTATTTCTCTGCTGCCTTACCCACGCTTTATTAGCTAAGTATTCTAGTTCACGTTGTAACAAAATGTCACTTGTGGCTTCTTAAAGCTCTTCAGTGGCCTTTGGGGAGATTACGGAAAAGGAAGGTTTTAAGTAGGTCTACCTCAAAGTTCATACTGACTTGGGCTTCTATCACAAGGCAGATAACAGATGAGATTATCTATTCCATTCTGATTTCACTGAACTAGGATTCATAAGATACATAACTTTTTTCAGCTCTACTGCTGTTTCATTTTATCTATCAAGTGACCTTGAAAAAGTCATATTTTGTACTTAAGGCTTTCCATGTGTAAAATGGAGGTAATTATGCTACTCTTCCTTATAAAGCACTTTGAAATCCCCTTGTGTTATTAGTATAGTTAGCAGTATATCCAAATCTAAATGCTCTTTAATTCCAGCACTGTAAATTTATGTAGGGAAGCATGACACTGAAGGAAAAAATACACCAACTTTTAACGAACCTAGAATTTTTCATTATGCCAAACCCAAGGAAAAATAATGATATTATCAAGGAGGAAATTGCTTTTTGACAGGAACAGAGAAGTTTGTTAAAAGCCCTTTAGAGTTCCACAGGTAAAAATGGGACAAACATATGGGAAAACATTACCAGAGAAGAGATCATAGTATTTCCCACTATGTTCAGTTCAGTGTAAAACAATTTGGAGGTTCTCATACATACGCTTATCTCTAAGGAAATTCTTATGCATGAGATCACAAATAGCTTGCTCAATACCAGTCCAGGTATATGTCTTCTATTTGTCTTGACTCTGTGTTCTCAATTATAAGAGTTCAGGAAACAGTAAGATGTCCATATGTGCTTGTGAGGAAGTCCATTCAGAATCACAAGTAAACTGGGCATCTTTTTTATTGCCAAGTGGCTCTTCTAACTCTAAAGCAGTTAAGCTTTCACTTAAAGCATCCTGAATGAGTAGGATGAGGGTTAGCCTCATCTTTGCATCTTTAGCTTGCTGTAGGAGTCATTCAAAACATTATTCTGCTAAATTGATAAACTGAAATAACTGTCAACCTTTTCTTACCATTTACCCATGGCCTCTTTCAAGAGAGCACAGAATTTCAACAAAATTGTACATAATTTTGTTTACCTTTTTGATCAAAGCATTGAGAGCTGCCTTAGTCCTTCAAACTGACTTTTAGAATTGGTCACTGGTGTTTTAGGAAATTAGAAAAAAAAAAGAATCCGAGTGCTTTTTACTGAAGTGGTTTGATTGTATCAGTGTTAAGTCTATTTGTTGTTAAAAGAATATCAGAACAGACACTTTATTAGATTCATTTGACCTTACTGTTATATATAAAATAATGTATAAAAAGAAGACAAGTTTCTAAACAGTATAAACCTGAATGCTATTTTCTTACAGATTTTACAGAAGTGATGCTAGAGATAGCCAGTTTCTGAATTTTGAATCCTCTTTTCTTCACTTTAAAACAAATATTTTGAATATTAGCCTAAATTATGAGTTTTGATTTGCAATTCTTTTATTTAAAGCTGAAAACAGTTGTTCTCCAGACCACTTCCAGTGTAAAACAACAAAGCACTGCATTTCGAAGCTGTGGGTGTGTGATGAAGACCCAGATTGTGCTGATGGATCAGATGAAGCCAACTGTGGTGAGTAGCAAATAGTCATCTCACATAATGTGTCCTCTTTCAATATGCGATAATACTTATCTGATATTGTAGTTGTATCTGGCTCATACAGTTCCTGTTGAATGGTAATCTTTATGAGTAGTCTAAAAACTTCATATTATACTACTACTTTATTGGCAGGAGCTCTAAATGAGTATCTCATTTGAAATGTAGTGACAGTCTTGATTTCTCTCACAGTACTATCCAGCTTCTGTCAATTTATTTTGCATACTTCTTTGCTGCTGGAATTCATAAATAGTGAAAAATGTAATAATTTGCAAATCATGTTAGTTAAGACTGGATATGTAGAAGGGTCCAGAGTAGATTCAAATTTGACATGACTAACTTTTGCTTCCCTCTGTGAGCTCCAGGGATTTACGTGCCCTAAAACACTGCTCCATAAATTTTGCATCTCCTTAGGAATTCTCCAAGAATTTCTGATACTTATGGCACTTCTGTACTTAAATTTGATAAATTGAGGAGGCAGATTCTCTACAGAGAAGATCAAGGATAGAATCACACCATTACCAAACCAAGTCCTAATTTCTTTCAGATTTAACACAATACCCAGAACCAGTGATCCATCCCACTGAGGCAGATTTTTAGAACATAAGTACTAACTTTGCACCCAAGAATTTCTTTCTCTCTTTCTTTGAAGATTCATTGTTGGATCACGAATATAACTACATTTTTAGAATGCTTCTAATCAATAGAACAGATGAACTGATTATATTTCTGCAGAAACAGCTAAAATTGATTCAGACACTACCCACAGAAAGTTGCAAATCTAAGCAGTTTTCACATTAGTCTGTATGTGATATTTTATTGTATACACCTAGTATGCTGTTCATCATCACTTGGTAAAAAAAGAGATCACATTGTAGTGGTAGCTGTTCTCAGTCATTGCTTGCAATGTTGGAAACTACTGAGTCAGCTCTTTTATTGTAGTTGAAAGAAAATAATAAATATCAATATTCCTCATGGGAAATGGATTACAGATAATACAGAGTAACTCTGGATCTGTATTGTTGGAAAATCACTGAACATGGAAATCAATGCAAGACGCTTACCAGGTGCAGAAAGACTTGTGGAAATTTCAAGGCAGGTCTGTAAAGAAAAGACGGCAAAAAGTTCTGAGATAAAAGAGAACAAGAAAGATAGCTGGACAGAAAATTCAAAGCTCTCACTGTTACTCATTCACACATCAATAAAATGACTTGATGAAACTCATGACTCTGGACAAGTTTATGTGACCACTGGGACAACAGAGGAACAAAATAAGAAGCTGTATTCAAGAACAAAGCATTGAGAGCCAAATTTCCATGGATATGTTTCATGCGAGTGACACAAGTATGTCCATGAAAATGTTGGTGCTGGTAAATGGCTAGGAAATAGAACTCTTCCTCAATGCTGAAAATCCAAGATCATCATTGGAGTTGTCAGGAAGGTGAAAATAATTAGTGATATTAACTGGAGAGAAGTTACAGTCCAAGAAATCATTTGGCTTGAAGAAACAGGTGAATGCAAAGGAGATAAACCTTTGCCATAAAGACTTTACATCCACCTTGGGGCTACTTTAGAACAACCTCCACACTGCTCACTCTGTGATCAACTTCGTAAGTGTTTTCTCCTGCATTGTCCCCATCATCTTGATCTCCAACATGCTGTTTCTTTCCAATTCGAACAACATTCCAAGCTTTCAAACTGTAGATTTCATATTTTGAGTAACCCATCCAAGGCCACCTGAGGCACAAAGAGTCATAAAGTAATTCGTCTAATAATATCCTCAAGACAAAAATTAAAAGCAAGGAGGAAAAAACCCTTAAAATAACGCTGAACAGGAAAAAAATGTATTTGTACTAGGTACTTCACTGTGTATAATATCCAAGTTACTCAATTACCTAGTGTAGAGGTGCAATGCATGCTATCACAAGTTAAATGGGCTTTTAGGGGCAAAATATATATTACTCGAATATATATA